GGGTTCGATCCTCAGCACCACATACAAAGATGTTGTGTCCGCTGAAAACTAAAAAATAAATATTAAAAAATTATCTCTCACTTTAAAAAAATAAATAAATAAAATTTTTATTTTGGTGCCTGGGATTCAACCCAGGGGCTCTTAATCACTTAGCCACATCCCCAGCCCATTTTATTTTTCAAGATAACGGTCCTATTAAGTTACTGAGGCTGCCTTTGAACTTGAAATCCKCCTGCCTCAGCTTCTTGAGCCCTTGGGATTACAGGTGTGCTCAACTATGCTGAGCTCTGCTGATAATGTTTTTTTTGTTGTTGTTTTTTTTAACCAAGAAACTGCCCAATGCTATGGTGCACACCTGTAATCCCAGTGACTTTAGAGGTCGAGTCAGGAGGATTTCAAGTTGAGAAGAGCCTCTGAAATTTAGAGACTCTAAGCAACTTAGTGAGATCTTGTCTCAAACTATAAAGATAACTGGAGATGATGCCTATAATCCTAGGGGCTCAGAAGACAGAGACACGAGAAGACTTTGAGTTCAAAGCCAACCTCAGCAATGGACGAGGTGCTAAGCAACTCAGACCTTTTCTCTAAATAAAAATTAAAAATAGGGCTGGGGATGTGGCTCAGTGTTTGAGTGCCCCTGAGTTCAATCCCTGGTACCAATAAAAGGGGGGGGGGTTGGGGCAGGGGACATAGCTTAGTGGTTAAGCACCTCTGGCTTCTATATCTAGTACCAAAAAAATGTAAAAGCCAAGAAACTAGAATCACTCTCTGAGTAGGTATAAATTTGAGTCGATTCTGACTTATTTTTATGGTGCTGGGGATTGAACCCAGGCTTTGTACTTGCTAGCCAGGCTTCCTATCACTGAGCTGTAWATCCAGCTGTGGGTTTTTTTGTTTGTTTGCTTTTTTGGTTTGATTGTTTGTTTGAAATAGGGTCTTATTTTGTTGTCAACACTGATCTGGAAATTGTGAACTCAAGTGATCATCCTGCTTTAGCCCTCCAAGTGACTAGAACTACAATACCATCATGCCTGGTTCTATTATGATTTTTTTTTTTAATAAAATAATCTCTGGCTGGGGATATAGCTCAGTTGGTAGACTGCTTACCTCAAATGCATAAGTCTCTGGGTTCAAGTCCTACCACCACACACACAAAAACATTAATAATAATCTTTAGTACAAAAACCAAAAAATTTTCACTGTAGTCTAGACAGGATATATATGATATGATAACTATAAAATTCCTCTAACTTTGTTATGTATTTGAAAGTTTTTGTTTGATTTAATATGGTGTTAGGGATAAAACCTAGGAGCACTTTACCACTGAGCCACATTCTGAGCCCTGATTATTTTATTTTTTAAATTTATTTTTTCTTTGGTATTGGGGATTAAACCCCAGGGGTACTTTACCACTAAGTTACATCCCCAGCCCTTTTTATTTTTTATTTTGAGACAGGTCTCATGAAGTTTCTGAGGGCCTCACTAAGTTGCTTAGGCTGACCTCAAACTTTTTTTTTTTTTTTTTAAACATCTTTATTTGCATGTGGTACTGAGGATCGAGTATCGAGCTAACCCGGGCCTGAGGATCGAACCCGGGCCGCACGCATGCCAGGCGGGCGCGCTACCGCTTGAGCCACATCCCCAGCCCCTGACCTCAAACTTGAGATCTTCCTGTTTCAGCCTCCCAGGTTGCTGGTATTATAGGTGAGCACCACTGGTCCTGGCCCCAGCCTTTTTCATTTTTTGAGACAGGGTCTTGCTGACTTGCTTGGGCAGGCCTCCCAATTTGAGATCCTTCTTCCTCAGCTTTCTGAATGGCTTGGATTACAGCTGTGTACCACTGTACCCAATTGGAAAAAAAAATTATAATACAATGTTGGGGGAAATTACATAAAAATTTTTTGCTTTTAGAGGGGAAACTTTATAATGTTTGCAAAATAAGGTTAAGTGATGGAGGCCAAAGACTGTGTAAAATATGATATATTTTATGATATGTCACGTAAGTTAAATAATGCACTTTTTCTCTTTTCTGGACTTTGGGTAAGCCCATTTACATCTTGTCCTTTGTTGTTTTTCCTTATAAAGTGAATAGATATAATTCTTGATATTTCTTATATTTTTATAGCTTTTCATCTGGGAAGTTCAAGGTACTTTGTACAACTTTGGTCACAGGCCGTGCATTTTGCAGCACATTTGTAAGGTAAGTAAATAGAAGTCTCTTCCATTTCCCTTTCCCTATGGAAAAAAGATTATTATTAATGTAAATTCTGGGGAAATATGGGTGCATCCTTTCTATTAATGGTCCTCTTGTGCCAATCTTGAGGGTTTTTGTTGTTGTTTTGCTGCTGGGCTTGAACTTTGGGGCTTTGGATCCTTAAGCTCGTGTTCTACCTCTGAGCCACACTCCCAGCACAATCTTGTTCTTTATCTTACTGTAGCTCTTTTTCTGTTTTTATTTTTCAACTTTTTTGTAAAAAAAACTTTTTTGTATTTTTTTGTATTCTTCTAACTTCCTCTCTTTCATTCCAAGCAACATTTTCTTCTTAGATGAAGATATATTTCTGAAATTAGACAAGATTGGGTGTGTTTTCTTCTTACTCCTTCTGTTTTTTATTTTTTCAGCTGAGTAGTTTGGCCATCTTAACAATGTACTGTCTGTGAGGTGGTATAATTGTCAACAGAATGAGGATTGAGTATAATCCTTTCTCTTATTGGAGGGTTTGGCAATGAGACTGGTTTGAAAGGGAGAAGTATTAACAGTAGTACAGTAGCCTATGCAGGAGCTCTTCAGTTATTGTAATTTATTTTTGCAGTGCTGGGGCCAAACCCAGGGCTTTGCACATGCTAGGTCCTAGGCGCTGTACCATTGAGCTATACCCACGGCTCTCTTCAGATATATATTTAGTTGTAGATGGACACGATACCTTTATTTTATTTGTGTTTATTTTTATGTGGTGCCGGAGATCGAACCCAGTGCCTCACACATGCTAAGCAAGGGCTCTACCACTGAATCACAACCCAGGCCTCTCTCTTCAGATATTTTAAACTGGTTGCAAATAAAGGAAATTGTAGTTTCTTAATTTAATTGATGACCTGGTAAGTATCCTGGTCTGGTACCATTTGGCCATCTTTTTTGTTTTCCTTGGGTCTGAGTACATTCTGTATATGGAAAAGTGAGCTGTTAAGGGGATAAGTATTCTAATTTGGTGAGATGAGCTCCCTGGCAGTGAAGACATCTTGCTGGTGATAGTTTGTTGGCTTTGAACCCTTTGGCATAGTAGGAGAGATAGTGAAGTTAGTTTGTGGTTTTGTCATTATTCTTTCAGTAACAAATGGTTACTGAGTAGCTACTGTATGTTAGGAGCAGTTCTGGGATACATCTGAAGAAAAGAGATTTTCACACATGGAGTTTTTCCTACTAGTAGGGGAGACTGGTGATAGATAAGTAAAGAATAGACTTGCTTTTCTTAAGAGAATAGCAAAAAAGCTTGAATAGTAGTAGAGTCTAGAGAGCAAGCAGGGAAAATGGAAAAAGTAAGATTATAGAGGTAGGCAAGAGCCACATCTGCCTCAGTATAGTCAGAAGATGTGAGTTTAGAGTTTATTTTTTGGGAAGCCATTGAAGAATTTTTATGGCCTGAGAGTGATTAATCTAATTTATATTTTTTGATAATGTAGACTTTTCATATGTGAGGGGGTGTGTGTGTATATGATGCTGGATATTGAACCCAAGGCCTCTTGCATACAGGGAAAGCACTTTACCACTGAGCCACATTCCAACTTCTACTTTATGTAGAATAGCTTACAAGGAAGCAAAAACGGAAGCAGGAAATCTATAGGAGGCTTTTTAAATCCACTGATAGATGGTAGTGCCTTGGACAAGAGCAGTAACAGAGGAGGTGGTGGATTGATGATAATAATGAAAGGTATGATAATACCCTTTTTGGATAAATTGCAAGATATGGCTTCTTAAAACCCTACTCTGTGGCCAAAGATAAGCCCCATGCAACTGTTGGGCATAGGAGGCAACTAATTGCTCACCACTGGGCATGGTATTTTTGCTGTTTCATAAGGTTTGAAATGGATTCTCCAGTAACACATTTGTGGTTTGATTAAAGTTCTTCCTTGTAAGATGGCAGACTGTTTTATAGTTGTTTTTTCAGTTCTTTGTTATGTTGATGTATTAAAAACACAAAAAAGGCAAAAGTAAGGTTATACTTTAGCTCCATGTATTTGCTAAAAGTAGATTATTTTACAGAAATGCTGATGGYCTTGTAATTATAAAAGACAGTTCTGGCCAAATGTGGTGGTACTTATCTGTAATTCTAGTGACTCAGGAAGCTGAGGCAGGAGGATCACAAGTTCCATGCTAGAACCTGGCAACTTAGTGAGACCCTGTCTCAAAAGAAAAAATGAAACTGGGCATGGTGATCCCAAAGCCTTGCTAGTTGTTAGGACTAGACTGAATTTGTGAACCTCCTGCCTCCTGTGCCTGGATTGTCAGAATTGATAATAATGAAAGGTATAATAATACCCGTTTTTGATCTTGGTTTGTGACTCTGTCTTTATTTGGTTCTGTAATCGTTTTGTTTCACTCTTTGTTTTGTTTTGAGACATATGTTGTCCAGGCTGGTAGAACTTCTGGGCTCAAGCAGTTCTTCAAAGTAACTGCCATCTAAGTGTGTTCTACCCCACCTGGTTATTTTTCATTCTAAAGCATCAGAAAATAGTAGCAACAGAGATGGGACTCTCCAAGTGGGTAGAAAATGCAGAAAAGTAGCTGTGTGTGGTGGCACATGATTGTAAAACCATTGATTTATGAGGCTGAGGCAGGAGGATGGCAAGTTTGAGGCCAGCCTCAGCAACTTTGGGGATGTAGCTCAGTGGCAAGGCACCTCTGGATTCAAACCCAAGTACCCCCAGCCTCTCAAAAAGAAAAGAGAATGCAGAAGAGTAGATGGTAGGGTGAAGACTTTTCTCCAGTTACCTGCTACCACCAACTTTTTTTTTTCTTTTAATATTTATTTTTTAGTTGTAATTGGATACAATACCTTTATTTTTATTTTATTTATTTATTTTTATGTGGTGCTGAGGATCAAACCCAGGGCCTCTCAGGGCACTAGGCTCCACTGCTGAGCCCCAACCCCGCCCACCAGCATTTTTTTTTTTTTTCCTTTTTTGCAGTACTCAGGATTTAACCCAGGGCTTTGTGCATGTTAGCTAAGCACACTACCATTGATCTATGCACTCAGCTCTACCATCACCATTTATAACTGAAGGGATCTTCTAATCCATGTAACTCTGCCTTCTGCATGTATAGTGAACTCTGACTAAAGATTTAGTCATGAAATCAGAAGCATTTATTGAATCTACCAGTTATATACACTTTGTTTTTCCAGGTTTATCTTTTAGAAATTATGTTCTCCATTGTGTTTTCCAATTTTACTGATTTTTACATCCTGACTAAACTTACAAGAAAAATGTTTGTTCTTTTTTCTTAAAAAAATTTGTATTAGTTATTGATGAACCTTTATTTATATATTTGTTTATATGTGGTGCTGAGAATCGAACCCATGCTAGGCGAGTGCTCTACCACTGAGTCACAACCCCAGCCCCCCAAATGTTTGTTCTTTACAAGCAATCCCCACATAAAAACTGGTGAATATTTGTAGGAAATAGGGACAAAAGTGTAGATTTTTATCTTTTGAAACTTGTAGCTGCTCTAAAGCACAGGGACCTATTTTCATTATTAAAAAAAAAACTTTTGATTTTAAGCATATGGTTGAAAATTTTGATGAGTACATTGTTAACTTACATTTTTATAGCAGTTGTAACCGAGGCCATATGGTGCCAGTGAATTGGGGTTCTCTGCCTCTTCCATAGACCCATACACAAATGCTCTCCCATTTTTCTGGGTTATTTTCACATAGCCCTATTTGTAATATGGGCTTTGCCAGCCTAAGAAAGTAAATCTTAAGATGGATAGTATATGTTGTAACACTTTGGTAATCTTTTTTTTGCCAGGAGGTGATTTTGTTACATGATTTGGCAACTTTGTTAGTAATACTGTGTCCCGACTTTTTATGGAAAAGTTCTTTTCTGGTTGTCATCTCTTGTTTAACTTTTCTGTTTATTCAGAAGGACACTTTGTTTATCTTTTGAAGATCTTAAGTTAAGAAAAGGAAAATAACAGTATCTTAGAGAAGTAGAATATGGAGTGAATCTGACAAATACCTAGCTCTGACATTTTATAATTGTGACACTTTATTGTTGTGGGTTCTTGGTAGCTCAGTTTTCTCTTCTGTAAAAGGTAATGATAATGGAGTCCAATGAGGGTTCAGTGAGAGAGAAGTATTTAGTCCTTCACCTTTCACCCAGTTTGTATTGTATAGTACCTAAAAATCATACTTTTTTAGTTTGGAGGAGATTTATTTATTTTGTTGTTTGAGATGGGGTTTGCTATGTTGCCTAACTGATCTTGAATTTGTGGGCTTAAGGAGTCATGCTGACTGAATCTCCAAAGTAGCTGGGACTGTAGACATGCCACCACTACATTTGGCCGGAAGAGAATTTTTTGGATTGGGGGAGTAGCACCCTAAAAACTGTTGAAGGACCAGGACAGGGCTTATTAGTAAGGCTTATTACTAAGCACAATGTTCTTAAATTTGACTGTTCCCAAAATTGGGATCCAGTTCCTATGAGGAAATCACCTTGGGTGTGTTTTTAAAAATTGTCTTCATGGAACTATGTAATGTTTTGAACAACCAATAAAAAAAAAGAAAAAAAAATTGTCTTCATGGAGCTGGTGCTCACCTGGTACCAAAGGTGGGGGAGATAGTTGTTGAGGCTTGAGAGGAATAGGATCTGGATCCTGCCTGAAATGTTTGTTCCAGAATGCAGGGTGTCTGTCTGCTCATTTCCATTGCCAAAACATCCTGGTGGGGGCGGGGCGGGGCTGGGGTTGTGGCTCAGTGGTAGAGTGCTTGCCTCACATGTGTGAGGTACTGAGTTCAATTCTCAGCACCACATATAAATAAATGAATAAAATAAAGGTCCATCAACACTAAAAAAAAAAAAAAAATCTTAGGACACGTTAGACAACTCATTGGGGCTATTTCATGGTTCATTCTTCTGTTAGTCCTGCAGAGAAGCATTGTTTTATAGACAATACTTAATCCTGACTCTGTACATCTATTTAAG